TTACTTTGTGTACTCGGGACATCCGGTGACAACCACTTATTAGCTAACTCTTTGGATATCGTTATTGGTGCCATGTTGTCTCAACATAAACTAGCTCTTAAGGCCTTGGGTTCCCTATACCATCCTCATTATTTTTGCTATTGAAACAGGGTCTTAGTGTGTAACCCTGGCTGACTTCAAATTCATAGAGATCTGCCCACCTCTACCTCTCTAGTACTGGGATCAAATGCCTATGCCACCACAGTCTTTTGAGGGGGTGTTTCTCGATGATCTGGAGCACACAGGGCTCTGCCTAGTCAATAACTCAGGATTATGCCTGTCATTTCAGAAACACCAGCACTATAGTCACAAACCACCTTGGCCAGCTTTTTCATGTGGGTTCTGGAGATCCATTTCAGACCCACTTGTTTATATGGCAAGCTCTTTACTGACAAAGCTATTTCTCCAGCCAGTTTCACCCCTTTGTTATTATTGTTGTTGTTACTAATGGTATTATTGTTACTATTGTTATTGGTGTTGTTATTGTTATTTGAAGTGCACAGAATCAAACCTAGAGCTTTACATATGCTAGTGAAGCATTCTACCGCTGCCTTCTCTTTCCAGCCCCCTTTCATATTTTCCCCTTTTGATACAGGGTCTGAGTTGTCTGGGCTCCCTTAAATCCCCTCTGGAGCTGAGGAAAACCTTGATTTTTCTATCCTCCTGCATCAGCTTCCTGAGTAGCTGGCCTTCCATGCGTGTACCATACAGCCCGGTCAGTAGAGTGCTCTAAAGAGGAGTGATCTGATTTGAGTTCATCCATTTAGAAGAAACATAATAACATCTGGAGGAACTGGGAAGGAAAAAGCCAAGCTGGAAGCCCCAGAGATAGTCTGGTCTGGTGCTTTGAAAGATGAGCGTGTCCTCTGGAGGCATTGCTTGCTGTACTCTGGCACATTCTTCCTCTTTTTGACACTCTGTGACACTCTAAAGTGCTCATTTAAGAACATGGCTTTAATACAGCATGATTCCATCCATGCATCACAGCATTTTTTGTCCCAATACCTGAAATTGGTATGTACATAAGGAACTGTTGGATACATATAGCCGTACATGGTTAGAAACTTAGGAAATTAACTGTTTAAGATCAATGCACTAACACAGTTACTGATTTTCTTTAATATGACCAGAACAACCTTGTTTGTGATCACCATATATCACAAATATGGTGTTTTAATTTCTATCTTTTAGGAGTATTGGCGTTTTGTCTGCGTGTTTGTGTGAGTACCGAGTGTGTACACTGCCTATGGGGGATGGGAAGAGACATTAAATCTCCTGGAAGTGGAGTTAGGTAAGGCTGTGAGCTGCTGGCGCTGGGAACTGAACCCATATCCTTTGGAAGAGTACCCAGTGCCCTTAACCACTGAGCCATCTCTCAAGCTCCATGCCCTATGTGTTAATTTCTTAAGGTATTGTCTTAATTACTTTTTGGGGGGTGAAGGTTTCAAGACAGGGTTTCTCTGTGGCTCTGGAGTCTGTCCTGGAACTCTCTCTATGAATTTGACAGTGGATGGTTCATTAATGTATCTTGTACATGAAGTATCCCCTTTCCAAGGTCCTATATTCCCAGATCTCAGGAGGTAGAGGCAAGAGGATCAGGAGTTTGGGGATGGAAGAAGGATGTAGGTCACAAACCATTCATTGTCTCATGTAAATTTTCCAGTGTCTGTTTTTCCAATGCAAGATAGTAATTGGTATCCCCATTTCATGTGAGGTAAATGATGTCAGGAGAGGAAACGTTACTAGTGCTAGGCAACCCAGCTATTATAAGAAAAGGTGAGGTGAACCAGTCATGGAGTATGCCAGTCATCCCATCAGGAGGCAGGAGCATCAGAAACATAGGGCTACCCCGGGCTAGACAGCAAGTTTGGGGCCGGTCTGGGTTACATGAGACTGTATCAAAAACAGGGAAATTAACCTAATGCTAATACTGATAAATAAAAGGAAAAAGAAGAAACCAGAAAGAAGGTCTGGTACTTAATATAGTCGTGAAATTTAATGGTAGAAAAAGGAAATGTGAAGTGTGTAGCAGAGAAAAACATTAAATTTCAATCTATATCAATTGAGAATGTTTAAAACTAAACAACTCAAAAGTTGCATGAAACCGGCGAACTCGAACTCGAGGATGAAGATTGTGGTGATACTTGTGGTTGTTTGAATGGAAATGATCACCCATAGGCTCATGTATTTGATGGAACTGTTTGAAAGGAGTAGGAGATATGGCCTTGTTGGAGGAGATGTGTCACTGGGGCTGGCTGATTGGGCTTTGAGCTCTCAAAAGCCCACAGCATTCCCAGTTAATTCTCCCCAGCATTCCCAGTTAATTCTCCACAGCATTCCCAGTTAATTCTCCCCAGCACCACCCCTCTCTCTTCTTTCTCTCTGACTTGTGGCTGTTGTCTCAGGGTATGAACTCTCAACAACTGCTCCATCGCCGTGCCTCGTGCCTGTCTGATGCCAAGCTCTTTGCCAGATGGTCACACACTAACCATCTTGGAAGCACGAGCTCCAATTAAATGTTGTCTTTTTTTTTTTTTTTTTTTACATTGCATTGGTCATGGTATTTTTGTCATGTCAAGAGAAAAGTAACTGAGATTCTGGGCAGTGGCGGGGCACGCCTTTAATCCCAGCACTCGGGGAGGCAGAAACTGGCAGATTTCTGTGAATTTGAGGCCAGCTTGGTCTACAGAGAAAGTTTTAGGACAGGCTCCAAAGCAACAGAGAAATCCTGTCTCGAAAAACAAAACAAAAAAGTAACTGAAATAATACCTCAAGAAATTAAAACATGGGACATGGAGCTTGAGAGATGGCTCAGTGGTTAAGGGCACTGGGTACTCTTCCAAAGGATATGGGTTCAGTTCCCAGCGCCAGCAGCTCACAGCCTTATCTAACTCCACTTCCAGGAGATTTAATGTCTCTTCCCATCCCCCATAGGCAGGGTACACACTGGGTACTCACACATACACGCAGACAAAACATGCATACTTCTAAAAGATAGAAACTAGAACACTAAGTGAGCAGGTATGTCTTAAACCTCTGAAAGAATGAGCCCAAAGAAAAATTATTTCAGGAATTTTCTCATGGCAAAAGCAAGATGATTCTTAGTAAACTGGAAAGGGATGCAAACATCTTAACCTGTTAAAGAGCTCTATGAAAAAAAAATACAGTTAATATCAATACTTAATGATGGAAGGCTGGATGTCCCCTCTCAAATGTGGGAAAGACAGCCATGAACCCATCCTCTGCATTTCTGTTCAATATTCTATTGGAAATCCTAGCCAGGTCAACAATGCAAGGAAAAGAAACAAAAAGACATACAGATTCAAAAGAAAATTAAGGTCTGTATAGAAGAGCATGCCTTTAGTCCTAGCACTTTAATTCAGGGCAGATCTTTGTTCTAGGCCAGCCTGGTATACCTAGTGACAACATGGCTCAAAACAAACAAACAAACAAACAAACAAAACAAAAACCCAAAAGAAAAAAAAAAGAAAAGAAAGAAGGAAGAAAAAGAAAAGAAAGAAAAAAGAAAAGAAAAAAGACCCTGTTTTATAGTATATGCCAGGCCAGGTTGCATAGACCTGTAAACCAAGTTAGGAGGCTGAGGCATGGGGACAGCAATTTCAATGCCCATGTAAGCTACAGTGTAAGTTCAAGGCCAGCCAGTGCAACTTAGTGAGCCCGTTTTTCAAAACCAAGAAAAACCTTTTTAGGGCTTCTGTTGGACCAGAGGCAGGTGATTTCTGTGAATTTGGTACTGGCCTGTTCTACATAGTGAGTTCCAGGCTAACCAAGGATATATATTGAGACTGTCTTTAAAAAAGAAAAAAAAAAAAAAAAAGGAAGGAAGGAAGGAAGGAAGGAAGAAAACACTTTTGAGGCAAGGTACAATGGTACATGTCTTTAATAGTAGCTCTCAGGAGGCAGCTTTCCTTGAATTGAGTGAGGGGGCAGGGGAAGGTTGATCGCTGAGTTCTAGACCACTGTGATCTATGTAGCAAGCTGTAGGACAGCCATGGCTACAGTGAGACCCTATCTCAAATAAAATAACATACTTCCATTCTGGTGGCCATATTTAAAAAATAATGGGTAAATTAATTTAAACAGAATTAAAAAATCTTCCATTGTTTTATTTATTGTCTCATAACAAGGAAAACTACTTAAAATCAAAGTACTTGCTTGATAGCCCCCACTTCTGAGATGTGCTTTTATTGTGTAGTCCTGGGGGCCTGGAATTAACTAGCTAGTTCAGGGTGGCTTCAAACTCACAGAGAGCCACCCGCTTCAGTTATCAGAATGCTGGGATTAAAAGTGTGTATCCCTGAAATCCTCATACACAGCCCCAATCAATCCCCCCCACACCCGCATCTCTCCAGGCTCTGTCGCCAGAAAAGATAGCAGCGCAATGGCTATCTTTAAGACTAATTTTTTTTTACATTATTTAAAAAAATATTTATTTATTGTATATACAGTGTTTTGCTTGCATATATGCCTACTTGCTCGAAGAGGGCACCACATCTCATTGCCGATGCTTGTGAGACACCACATGGATTCTGGGAATTGAACTCAGAACCCCTGCGAGAACAGGCAGTGGTCTTAACCACGGAGCCATCTGTCTAGCCCCTTTTTGCGTTTTAATTTTATTTATTTGTTTCGGTAGGGACCATGTGCTTTATAGTAAGGTCATCGTCTAGGGGTCTGAGGAGAACTTGTATGGGCAGTTAGTTTTGTTTTTCCACTCTATTGGTTGTGAACATCCAACTCCAGTCCTCAGGCTTGACAGCCAAAAAACCTGTACTAATTCAGAGTCATTTCCCTGGGCATAGTTTGAGTGTTAAAAAATACACCAGAAGCCAGACTTGTAGATTTGAAATCACTAAGATGGCCCACCTTCCCTAACCTCGCTCCACCTTGTTGCCATGCGCCCTCTGCCCAACTGAGGCGCAGCTTGAGGCGTGGCTAAAATGGCGGAAAAGTTGGGCCTGTCTCTAGGCAAAGTTCGAGGAATTTGTAATACGCAGGCATGCGCACTTTGTGTGGTCATCAACTGCCACTACCCAGTGTTCTCGTGAAAAGGTTCTGAGCCAACAGCTAACAGCCCTTCTGGAAAGTTCTAGTCCTCACTTGTCGCCCCAGCTCGCGGTGAACAGTGGCCAGTAGTACCCATCTCACCTCAGGACGCTTGTCCCTGAGGCAGCCGTTAAGATGGGGCCTGGAGGTTTCTATTTGGGGACCAAACTCTGCCTTGGCCTCCCGGGGCTAAGGCTCCTGCTGTGCCTGTGGCTCTTCGCCACCACCTCGTGCGAGGCTTTCTACTTTCCCGGCCTGATTCCCACCACTTACTGTGAGGAGGGCCATCCTAACCCCCACTGTCTGGTGAGGAGCCGGGGAAGGAAAGACCCCATTGGGAAAGGCCGCAACGGGGACGCGGGGATGCGGGGACGCGGGGATGCGGGGACGCGGGGATGCGGGGACGGGGGGGGGGGGACGCGGGGACGCGGGGATGCGGGGACACGGGGCGGTCCCAGCCCCACCCTCTTGGCACGGCGCCATCCTTCCTCCTGGGTTCGGCCCTCCCATAGTCCCCTCCTGCCTCTCAGCTCCCTCCTCGGCCCAACTCTCCTTGTCCGCTATGGCTGTGGCTCTTCCCTCGGGCGCTGTGGCTCACTCCACCTCCATTCTCTGCCTCCTGCCTGGCCTGCTTCTCTCTCTTCCTAGGCATCCTATTTCTTCCACCGCCTCCCCTCCATCTTCCACCTTGCAGCCCCAAGCCTGTGCCTTTCTCTCTCTCTCAGCTTCTCCTCCCCCTTCCCTGTGTAATGACCCTTCCCCTTTGGGCCCTGTTATGCTCCCGCCATCTTTCTGTCACCCTAACTCCGGGGCTTTCCCATGTTTCCTGCTCTGATCCTTGCTTGCTCCCTGCGGCCTCCCGGGTCCTTCAAAATGTGTACCATTCATTAATTTTCTACTTCTGCAGGGTGGTGGTACTGAATTTGCCACGTGGGGCATTTAGTCAACTTTCAGGAGATGAAATCGTGGTAGCCGTGCCCTGGTCACCCTTTTCCTCCCTTCCACTCCCTATTGACCCCATTGCTTTTTCAGTCAAGATCTGAGTTTGTAGTCCAGGCTAGCCTTGAACTCAGCATCTGTCCAAGTTTGGAATTAACAGATGTGGACCTCTGGCCTCCTCAACTTTTTTTTTTTTTTTTTTTTTTGAGACTTGGTCTCCTATAGCCTACGCTGGTATCTGCCATCTCTATAGGGATCTTCCAGTGTTGTCTTGCTTCACTGTGGTTTGGTTTTTTTTTTTTTTTGGTTTGGTTATTTATTTATTTTATTTTATTTATTATTATTTATTTATTTATTTATTTATTTTTTTGGTCACAGCAGCAGACTGACCTTGAGCTTGAGGCCTTGAATTGGTTGGTGATCATTGCGTTTCAGCAATGCTTGCTCAGAATACTGGCAGAAAGGCAAGCTCTGCAATGAGTGGCCTTTATTTATTTATTTATTTATTTATTTATTTATTTATTTATTTATTTTTAATGAGGGGATCTGGGTTTGCTGAGCAGCCCAGGCTGATTTCCAAAAACAGCCTAGCATCCTAGTGTTTCAAGCCTGTGGAATGTTGGGGTTGCAGGGTATGACATTGTTTGTCCCATTTGCGTGTTTTTTAAGAGAACATCTTCTTTGTTCAATAGGCTCTGGTATCTCACACGAAATGCATTTGCCTCTGCCTCTTATATGCTGGGATTACAGGGTGTGCCACAGCACTAGATTCGTGTTTCTTTTCCTTTTATTTATTTATTTATTTTTTATTTTATCGTCATCATAATTCGTTTTGGTTTTTCAAAACACAGTGTGGTCACTCTGTAGAGCAGATTGACGTCAAACTCACCGAGGTCCTCCTGCCTCTGCCTCCCAAGTGCTGGGATTAAAGGCACCACTGCCCCACACTTTTTTTTTTTTTTTACAGTCATTATCTCAACTTCAAGCACTTTTATTATTTTAGCAACAGAGCTTGAAGGTTATTTGATGTCGTGGTGTAGAGTATAGCCCTCCAGCTTCCCTCTCCTGCATTTTTTCTTCCTTTTCATTGTTTCCCCCCCCCCCACCCCGTCTTTCATTGTTTCCCCTTTCTCCTGGTTTTTGTTTGTTTGGGTTTTTTTTTTTTTTTTTTGGCCTCCCCCGTCTCAGTTTTCTTTGCGCTATGGTTTCATTTTCTATGTCCTTTCTTCTGTTGCTCTTTATGTGGCAGCTGCCCTTACTCTGCTTTGCATTTCTTTGTCCTTCCCTACGTTAGCATTTCTGGCTCCTTTTATCCTGTGTCTCCTCCCTCACTGTCTTCCCTTTCCCGCTTCGCACAGACTCCTCTTTCTCATTTTCTCTGCATCATTCTCGGCTTCTCCTTCGCCTCTCCTCTCTTCTGTTCCATGCATTGTCTTTCCCTTCTCTTCCACTGTACTTCTGTTTCTCATTTCACCCTTTCCTTTGACCGTCGCCCTTTCTCTCTGTGTTTTCTATCACCTTTCCTCCCCTTTCCACTCCCTTTTCTTCTTCCTCTGGCATGCTGTCTTGCTTCTCTGCTTCATCTTTTCTTTGGAATTGTCTTTCTCACTCTTTCCTTTTTCTTCTTCTTTGAAACATTCTTTTGTGTTTGTCTGAGACAGGGTCTCATGTATCCCAGACTGACTTCAAACTTGCAGACGTTCGACTCTGACCTTCTAGTATCTACCTCCTAAGTGATGAGTTCAGGAACACTCCTGGCCTCTTCTGCCTTCCTTTCACTTCCAGTTTTTCTCTGTTCCTGTCTTTATTCCTCCCTCTTTTCCTCTTTTTTTGTTTTGTCTTTCTCACTTTTCCTTTTGTTTTTAATCTTTTTTCTCTCTCACTCTCCATTTCTCTGGCCTTTGGTTTCTGTATTTTCCTTTTTTCTGTTTCTTTTCCTTTCACATTCACCCACTCTTTCTTTTTTCTCCCATTGTTTTGTGTGCCTTTTGTTTCCTTCCTTCCGCTCCTCCCTATCACATTTCCTTCCTTTCCACCTTTTCTCTCCTCCCCCCTCCCTTTCCAGGTTTCTTTCACCTTCCCTCTCATCACGTCTTTCATCTTCTGTTGTCTCTCATCGCCTTTCTTTCTTTATCTCTGCACCTTTTGTTTTGAGACGGGGTTTCTCTGTGGCTTTGGAGGCTGTTCTGGAACTCTCTCTGTAGACCAGGCTGGCCTTGAACTCACAGAGATCGGCCTGCCTCTACCTCCTGAGTGCTGGATTTAAAGGTGTGAGCCACCACTGCCCTTCTCTTATGTCTTCCCCCTTTTTCTTTTCTTCCTTTCCTTTTCCTGTCTTGTTACATAGCTGAGTCTGCCCTGACACTTACTATGAAGACCAGGCTGCCATAGAACTAACTCATGGTTAATCTTCCTATTTGTTCGTTTTACCCCCTTTCCTTTTTTTTTCTTTGCATTTCTCTATTGCGTCTCTTCCTTTGTTTTCTTCTTTTCCATTTCTGTTATTTCTATTGCATTTTCTTTCTTCCTTTACTATGGCCTTTCACCCCCCTTTTTTAACCTGATTCTTGTGCTGAATTTGGTGGTTCACACTTTTAGTCCCAGTACTTGGGGGCCAGAGACAAGCAGATCTCTGTGAGTTCAAGGCCAGCCTTGTCTACAAAGTGACTTCCAGGTCAGTCAGAGCTAGAGAGACCCTGTCTCACAACCCCTCCCCCCAAAAAAGAATGGTAGAGATTCTAATTGTATTCATTCAGAGAAACCAATTGTCTTGGTCGGGGCTTCTATTGCTGCGATTAAATATCATGGCCATGAACAACTTGAGGAGGAATATAGGACTGTACAGCTGTAAACTGATGTAAGCAATAGGGCAGATTACGTCTTAGTTGTTTCATTATGTGTTTTGGAAACACTAGCTCATTGTATTATTAATGATTTTTTTTCTTTCTTCAAGTCATCAATACAAGTGTATGCTGATAAACTGTACTCGCTGGAAACTGTGGTGAGCTACGACTATGATAGGTAAATGTAGTATATAAGTTAAAAACATTTTCAGAGTTGTAGCGTGGCTTTAAAACAGGAAAAAGGTTCATGTAGAAGTGTTTAGTGAATAATGATGTTTTGTCTGGTAATGTTTTGTTTTTACATGATCAGCTACAGTATGACATCACATCTGGAAAAAGTAGCTGTATTATAGAAAAAAGAGTAAGGGGGGGGGCTGAAGAGATAGCTCAGTGGTTAAGATTACTGACTGCTCTTCCAGAGGACCCCTGTTCAATTCCCAGCACCCACATGGCAGCTCACAACTGTCTGTAACTCCACTTCCAAGGGATCTGATACCTTCACACAGACAAATGCTGGAAGAACACAAATGCTCATAAAACAAGAATAAATAATTTAAAAAAGAAAAAAAGAGTAATGAATCTTTTGGTGTTACTTTATTTCTACTAAAATCAGGTCTGACATTCATTATACAGAAAGCCACAAATATAAAGTAACATGCATATTTAAAGTATGTAAAATGTCCTGGCTTCTCTTCAGATTATGTAGCCCTTTTGCCTCTTAAAATGCATACAAGATTTATATGTATTTTATTTTCTACTTAAATCATCTTATATTTATAATAGTTGAAAGAAAATTCTAATTATTTTCATCTACTATGGGAATATATACGGAGATTTTGTTCTTTAAATTTGCTTTTGATCAGAACTAATATGTATAGTTTCTTAATATATTGAGTTAGAATTAATATACTTGCAATTGTTGTTTTTCTTAATTTTGTGTACTTTGAAAAAAGTACACAAAAATTATTGTGAGTTTTTTTTAAATTGCTATTTCCTGTGTTAAGAAAAGTCAAGATCTGCAAAAAAAAAAAAAAAAAGAGCCTTTAAATAATGCAATCAAACTGGCTGGATTATATAGGATATAGCAGCTCCACTCCCTGGGTTGGAGAGTTCAGTGGGAGTCAAGGTATGCCAGCCAACAGGGCGCTGTAACAGGTAGGGACTGAGGGATGCAGGGAGAATCTCATAGCCAGTGTCCAATTTGGTATATTAAATAGGCACCTCAGCCATTTATCCCAGGTTTGAAACCTAACAGCAGTCTTGTTAACAATGGAGAGGCTACATAAATTATAATTAAGACTGATTTCTTGCCAAGTTTTTTTTTTTTAAATAAAAATCTTACTCAACCTTCCTCTTTCTTAGCTTTGACTTCTGCAAAGATACTTTGAAGAGAACACCGTCGGAGACTCTTGCAAAAATCTTATCTGGAGAACAAATAATATCAAGTCCTTACAAGGTTATTCTGCTGATCTTATTAGTATGTCTTAGTTTTGAAAGAACATTCTTAAAACTATTTAAAATTGAATCTTTGTTTTAATGGGAGGGAAAGAAAAAGAGCTCATGTTGATAGAGAAATCTGCTAAAATGCCTGCAGTAGCTGGGTCCATCCATATAAAGGAGATACAGAGATGAAGAGGTAGAGACAGTGATAAGGAGAAAGTGTGTGTGAGAGTATTATTTCGGAGTGAACTCTCGGCATCACATATGATAAGCAGGTGCTCTACCATGGAACTTTGGTCCAGCCCTTTTTATTCTGAGATAAGTACTAGTGTTGTAGCTCAAGTTAGCCTTGGAGCATCCTATGTAGCCCAGGTTGTTGCATAACTTGGAAAAACCCTCCTGCTTCAGCCTCTTGATAGCTGAGATTATAGATGTGTCCATCAGGTCCAACCTTCCTGATTTTCTCCCAAAGAGAGTGTCACACCTTATAGCCCAGATTGTCCTGAAATCCATGGCAGTCCTGCCTAGCATCACAAGTTCTGCTATTGCAAGTGTAAGCCATACTTCTTGGCTCAATAAGGTTTAGTTTCAATGTGTTTGTTTTTTGTTTGTCTGTTTATTTTTGTTTTTACTGTATAAAGAAAAGCTGTTAATATATCACACTTTAATATGTGTGTATGAGTACAGTAATAACAGTTAAAAACTGAAACTGAGAGGAGACAGACTTGAGAATGATAATATAATTTTGCCTTCGAAAGAAAAAAATACGTGCCTGTAAGTTAAATTACTTATTTGGTGACATTACTGAATTCAGCCAAATTTCTTACTGTTTTCACTTTTTGTAGTTTTCTTTTAACAAAGAAGAAACATGTAGAAAAGTTTGTGTAAAATCTTATGCTCCAGAAAATGAAGATCAAATGAACAAGCTGGCTTTTTTGAAGGGAGGAATAAAGCAGAATTACTATCATCGCTGGTAGGTTTATTATATGGTTTTAAACTCTTTTTCAAAGTAATTTTAATAGACATATAAATTACGTTCTATTTTTGTGATTTGAGTTTGATTAAAATTGAACTTAAATATACATGCGATAGATTTATGTTGCTCAATATGAAGTGCTTGTTAAACACCTTATTTAAAAATATTTTTATCTAGGGTTATTGATAACACAAGAATGATATGGTGTTATGATACGGAAGGTGGAGAACACTATTGCATATTAGGATTTCCAATAGGATGTTTCAATAACCTAAGTGGCCAGCTGAAAGGCTCTTGCCTGCCTAATAATGTAAGTATTGCCAACTTAGAATGGAAGTACAAGAATATTGCTTCATTTATGTTCTAGTTCATATTTTACTCATTTAGAAAACATTAATGGGACACCAGCTAGTTAGTGTTTGGAGATACAAAAACAAGTTTACTTTGTCTCTGTCTTTAAATTTATAGTCTTAAGTAGAGGAAATAGACTTATAAAGAAGCGAATGCAACAGTATGGTATATATAGGGGACTCGGGTCAGTGGAGGCAGGCAAATGGAAGGGTAAGCATATGTAGCCCATGTGACCAAACTTTGGAAGTGTGAAGTAGCATATTGTAGTTGGGAGTCTATGAATAGCTGAGCATGAGTCTGTGGCATAAGCTTAAGACTTACAGCTACATAAATAATTGAAAGTGAGTTAAGCAGAAGCCAGCTATATGCTAAGGAAAATATTATTGAATGCCAGTAATTGTGCCATCAGTATTGCTGGTTTTGTCACACATGGTGATTGGTTCTCAGAACAGTTACACTGCTAGAGCCTTCAAGTACAGTTTTACAGATGAGGAAGCTGAATTTCAGATAAGACATGTGACTTGACAAGGATCATAACAGCTGCAAAGTGGCAGAGGTCATACCTGAACTCAGACCTTTTATTTTTTTTTAGTTTTTGTTTTTTGAGACAGGGCTTCTCTGTGTATCTCTGGCTGTCCTGGAACTCGCTCTGTAGACAGGCTGGCCTTGAACCCACAGAGATCCACCTGCCTCTGCCTCCTGAGTGCTGGGCTTAAAGCAAAACACTGTGGCATATGCATTGTCTCTTGCTTACTCACTCTCAGACATATCATACACATCTGTAAAGATAAATGTATTTTTAAAGAGTGGATAAAATTTAATAAGTCCTGTCCTTATCAAGTCTGGTGCCTGTAGTTTTAACACACTGGAAAATGAGGCAGGAGAATTACTATGAGTTTGAAGTTAGCCTTGGCTACTGGCTAACCTCCCTCCCTCTCTCCCTCCTTCCCTCCCTGTCTGTATGTAGTATCTGGCTATCGGTCTCTATTTGTCATTTGCTGCAGGAGGAAGCTTCTCAGATGATGAAGGACAAACACATCATGTACTTAAACTTTATACATTGCTAACATATTTTTAAGAAAGGCTCATTCTAGCCCAGGACAGTCCAGAACAGGAGTCAGTTCTCTTGCCTTAGCCTTTCACGTGTTGTGCTTTACAGTCATGAGTAATTATACAAAGATCAGAAAAGGGCATCAGGTCCCTTGGGACTGGAGTTACCAAAGATTGTAAACCACCGCGTAGGTGCTGGGGAGTAAAGCCAGGTCCTCTGCAAGACCAAGTGCTCTTAACTACTCAGTTGCCTGTCTAGCCCCATGGTACACTTTAAAAAAAAGTGTTAGTGTATCCATTTTTCTTATTCCATTATTACGTTTTGCATCTTTTAGTTGCTAGGAAATGTTCAAAGTTCTTTTATGTTTTTACAGCCTGAATTCAGCAAAAATAATACTTTGTACCTCTTCAACCATGTTGATATTACTATTACATATCATATGGAAAGTGACACAACCAGGAATATTGCAAAATTGGTTAGCTCCAGAGTTGAACCCAAAAGGTAATTATGGAGTTACTTTTTAATGAGTTCTAATGATGTCAAAATGGAATTTAAATGTAGAGATTCTTGACTTTTTTTTACTTTTAGGATACCTATGTATTCATTGCATACTATATTTTGAAAGCTTAACTATTCTTTTACTCTGTGTTCCATATGCTAAGTATGTGAGTATTACACAATGTTAGGAAGAAGTAAAAAAAAAAAGAATAGATTTACTGAGGGTATTTTAGCTGGTATTTTATAAGGTTAATATAAATATATTTTGATTTGTTTTTCTTTAGCGGACAGCTTTAGTACTACTAGATTATACTAGAAAAGCATCAGCTAAGTGAAAGAATCTTGATGACTAGAGCTCTTTTAGCAGCTGAATAAGAAGCCTCAAAAAGTATTGAGAACTCTATCCCTGCACATATGTAGGAAGAGCCTGGAGACTACTTTTAAAGAGATTGAACAATTAAAGATTTACTGCTGTACCTTGAGCCCTAATAAATGCCCAAAGACTTGTTCATTCATCTCCCTCTGATATCCCTAGAAGTTGGTTGGGTGAATAATATAGAAACCTCTGTTCACTTTCCATAATGGCTGTACTAGTTTAATTGCCATTAGAGGTATATATTTATAATAACTTTCATTGCTTAAGCTGGATGCTTTATGCATAGTAGGCTCTCATATATCTGTGTGCTTACAGATATGATTTCTTCTTCATGGACTTAATATTCTGTCCCTACAGTTAAAGTTGCAAGGTATTGTATTGAAGAGGGGTGAGGCAAAAGAAGACAAAAGCTTTTCTCTGGTAGAATATATTTTCTTTCTATTTAGGTGAAAGGAATGCTCGTAAGTACAGTTTTAGGTAGTATATAGAGTCCCATTTGTTGGGGATATTTAGAAACAAAAGATTTTAAAATCATAAAGAACTATAGGTGAGTATCATATTCATTCATGCAATTCCAACATTCCAAGTCAAGAGGCAGAGGCAGGAGGATAGTGAGTTTAAAAAGAGTTCTAAATAAAGAACATAATGGAAAGCTCCCCTTTTCTTTTCTTTTTATTAGCTATAAACATACAGATGAAAATCACCTAACTTGCAGTGGACCCCCTTTGGAAATTCCTGAAGACGCAGATAATTTAAACGTGGTCTACACATATTCTGTGAAATTTGAGGCAAGTATTCCATGGTCTCACCTTGGTTTTTTATAATCAGACACATAAATAGCATATGTCTATATTAAAACTGAAACTTTCATCACTTTAAAGTTGTAAGGATAAGATTAGGGCATGCATAAGGCCGTGGTTCCTTCTTTAGTCGGTCTTTCTGTCTGTCTCCCCCCACTTCCCCTCTCTGCCCCACTCTCTGCCCCTTCTACCTCTTTTCTACCTCCCCTCCTTTCTCTTTCTCCTTGCAGGGTCCACGGTTTCCCATTTGCCCTTGAACCCTCTTGCCCTTACCTCTCAAGGGCTGAGATTACCGCTATGTACCATGTCTTGTTTACATCTCATGTCATTTAATTCTTCTTTTCATAATATGCAAAAGAGCAGAAAATTTTATAGGATTGCCAGCCCCTGCCAAGAGATCAAGCCATATAACTGTCACCCACATTCAGAGGGTCTTGTTTGGGCCCATGCATGTTTCCCAGCTGTCAGTCCGTGGTCCCAGAGCTCCCACTATCTTGGGTCGGCTGTCTCAGTGGTTTTCCCCATCATGGTCTTGACCCCCCCACCCTCTGTTCACATGATCTCCCCTCCTTCTCTTCAACTGAACTTCGGGAGTTCAGCCCAGAGCTTGCCTGTGGGTCACTGCATCTGCTTCCTTTAGTTACTGCATGTAGGTTCTAAGATGACAATCAGGGTAGTTACTAATCTGGTTAAAGGGGAAAAGGCCAGTTCAGATACCCCATCCACTATTGCTAGGCGACTTACCTGGGGTCATCTTTGTGGATTCTCAAGAACTTCTCTAGCCCCAGGTTTCCTCCTAACCCCATAATGGCTTCCTCTATCAAGAAATCTCTTTCATTGTTCTCTCCCTCTGACCCTTTCCCAAATCCAGTCTTCTCGATCTCTCATGTTCCCATCCCCCATCCCTTCCTTTAATAATAAATGTTTTATGACTCTCCCTTTGCTATTCTATCCTATGACTAATAGTTAATAGGAGACAAAACCTGTCTATACATGTAATTTTAACAAATACCAACGTAACCTCCTAATGATAACATAAAGGGTAAATAGTGGTAACTTTTGATAAAATAATATACCCTTTATGTATTTTATCCATTTTATTTGATTATATCTATGTGTATAGTCATTATAAGTGTGATTGTGGGCAGATAAGAACATCGCAAATTATTGGCCCAAATACTGCTATTTTTTAAATGATGCGATGACTTTTTGAGGTGTCAAAAAATTTTGGTAACATGCCAAGACAAGTATAGTATCATTTTTTCCTAATTTAATAAAACAATTGCCTTATTGCATGGGACTATTGAATCTATATTTAAAATCATATAGAAATATATTATGAAGCAAATTTGAAATCAAAGGGTAGGCAATCACAAGCAGTTTTTCACCTACATGAACTTTGGATGGGACATTTGAAAGGTGTGGGGCACAACACAATTCTCCCCAGTTCTCTTTTATGGAGATCTCCATGTGCACTGCAGGACACCTGGCTTTTTGAATGCCAGTAGCAGACGCATGTTTTCATTATGCCCTGTAGGGGGTGCTGCTCTTCCTGTTGAGAACCACTGGACTACAGATCAAATTCCCTACAAACTAGAGTCTCTGCGTAATTTCTATTGACTATGACACATCATGGGGTACTATACTATGGATAAAGGGGTCTTTGTTTCCACCTTGTTGCTATGTCACTGTTGCTAGCATTAAAGACTTATTGGCCACATATTATTTTATGAGAATTGCTAGCTTACAAAAAGATTTTGATACTTTGAAATGGAAAAATTCATTAATTTTAAGCAGATAAAATAGGCTCTCTGTTACTTAATTATTATTTTTGTGTTTGACATTTTGTTTTCATGTACCTTTGATTTTTAAAATAGTTGAATTTTCCTTGGGATGACTAATAAATGTTATGACCCATTATTTCCAGCAGATGGCAGTGTTTGGTGCTAAAATGATGAATGATGAGTAAACACTGTTGATGTTTTGGCTGATGATTTTTTTTTCCCCAGGTGTTTTTTTTTTTTTTTTTTTTTTTTGAGATGGGATCTGGTTTGGGTTTGGGGATAACCACGAATTTGTAATAAGCAAAGCTGCTGGATTTTAGTAGAACAAGTTGTCTTTTAACTTAAATATTATTGATAACGGTTGTATATTTGCAGATGTTATATATAGGGAAAATGTGAGAAGATTCTCCACCTTTATTCTCTTATCCTTGATTCCTCTTTCTGAAAGCATAACCTTTAGGTTTTCTAATTTATCATTCCAGAAAAAATGTTTGCATCTGTAATACAGGCATATGACTTTCTGGGTGGGGGAAAATGAGATTTTAAAAATTAAAAAGTGTGTGTGTGTGAGAGAGACAGAGACAGGGAGGGAGAGATTAGGTTAGAGGACCACTTCGTGGAGTCTATTCTCTCCTTTCCCTGTACCTGGGCTCTCAGAATCAGACTCATTTTGCTTGCTCATGCAGCAAGCACCTGCTGGCCTTGAGAATATAGTTTTGCCATGTGTACCTCTTCCCTTTCTAAACTCACTTTGGACATATCACTTGTCAGTACAGGTCACACTTTCCAATGCTAGTACAGATCAGCATCATCTATTCTCACCCTGAAGAGCATTTTTGGTTGTATTTGGTTTTCCAAATATTACATTGACTCATTATGTAAAGTTTTATGTACTTTGGCAAGCATCATAAGACATTACAGTGTAAATGGAAATATGTCAGGATAAAAGGGAAAAAGAAAGTATCTGATGGGTTTGGGACCACATAAAAAATAATAGCAGAAAGATGCTGTTTCTGTTGGATAGCAACAATAATTTTCTTTTTCTTTTACCTTTCCTTGGTTTTTTTTTTTTTTTTTTTTTTTTTTTTTTTTTTTTGAGGCACAATCTTTCTATGTGGCCTGTGGCCTGGCTGCCCTGGAAGTCACCTATGCATACTACACTGGCAATGAACTCACAGAGATCCACCTGCTTTTGCCTCCTTCCTAGTTCTAATATTACTAAGTGATTCCATGAAGCTGGAGGTAAAGGGGCAAAGGCTGTGCAGAATAGGCTTCTATATGCGTCTGAGTAAGGTGAAGTTTAGTCATTTGATTTTATGTTCTCATTTTAGGAAAGCAAATCTACTGAGTTGCCTTCTGAATGGGATAAAGAATTTGAGTCTTCAACTGAGACCAACATTCTTTGGATTAGGTAAGCACTTCATAAAATAAAGACAAAATAGTCCAGGATAGCAAACATAAATGGTAGATTTTCTCAGATTTTTAGGTGGAGGTGGGCACTGAGGATTGAGCCTTGGGCGGGGGAAGCTGAATGATCAGAAAAGCAAAGCAGCTAGCCATTCGCTCTTACCTCTAGCTCAGACTGAATGGGTGATCGCGTCAGAGTGGATGTTCAGGCAGACTGCCTAGACTGCATCCACCTCTACAAATCCTCAGGCTGCATCTCTCTTATATTCCTCTCTCCGCCCGGCCATATCACTTCAGTCTCTACCTCCCTAGTGCTGGGATTAAAGGTGTGCCATCCCAAGTGCTGGACTCACCTTTGTGTGAGCTCTGTTTCTCTTTTAGACAGATTCGATCTCATGTAGCCTTGAACTAACAGTCTTCCTCTTTCTCCCGAGTGCTGGGATTAAGGGTGTGCACCACCACTGCCTGGCCTCTATGGCTAACTAGTGTGGCTAGCTTTGCACTCTGATATTCAGGTAAGCTTTCATTGTTAGACCATAAACAAAATATCACTGCACTGGTCTAGAGTGCGTTTCAGGACAGGCTCTAAAGCTACAGAGAGACTCTGTCTTGAAGCCCTATCACCCAATTATAAAAAAGAGCAGCCGAGGGCAGAAGAAAGCTGTAAAAGTAAACTGAAAGTAAGGAAACGTGTGATCCTATGACACAGCATTTTCAAGGTGGTGATTCTTCTTACATCCCCGTTGCCTTTAAAATGAGACTAGCCTCTTACCTGAGTGTGGTTGCATACACTGAGATTCTAGCACTGAAGCAGTTGCCTCATGATTTTGAGGTCAGTCTGAGCTACAAAGCAAGATACTTTCTGCCCAAGGAGAAAGAGACTGAGGGAGAGAGAAAATGAATGTGGTTTTTATCTTTATTCATATTCTTTACCCTCCTCTACCAAACAGTAAATTTCTAGAAGAATATTTTGTTTACATATCACCCTATGTTGATCAAGCCACACATAACCCAGAAGTATCCTTGGAAAAAGATTTTTTTGTTATGCATTATTTTCACACACGCGCGCGCGCACACACACACACACACACACACACACACACACACACACACACAGAGAGAGAGAGAGAGAGAGAGAGAGGGAGGCAGAGAAAGACACAGAGAGAATAGAGAGATTCAGAGAGAGACAGAGAAAGAGACATACAGAGGCAGAGACACAGAGAGATTCTTGTTTTTTAAAGACAGCATCTCTTAGACCATGCAGTCACTGAACTTCTATCTTGCTTCTACCCCCAAATGCTGGGCTTATATGTGTGCATATCCATGCCTATCTTATTCTTTTGAGATAGTGTCTCATTGTGTAGTGTAGGCTGGTCTTGAAAGTTTCAACCCTCCTGCACACTGAAATTATAGGCCTGTAATCATGGCTCCTGGCTTATATATTTTATTTTAAATCTATACATAGTAATTGTATTTATTCATAAGGACAGTGTGGCATTTTGTTTCATGTAAGTGGAATACCTCTAACCTTAGATACATATTACTTTATTTTCTTGGAAGCATTCAAAATCATCTCCTGATTTTGAAATATACAATAATTGTTGTGAACCATATGTATCTTACTGTTATTCTCTTGGCATTTCAGTAAAACAGTGCCAGTCTTTTTATTAACCAGTAATTTTTAAATCATGTGTAGATTTGGCTGGGCATTGAAATGGCATCAGACATTGGTTTTGATTTTAGGATTTTTTTGAAGTTTTAATTTTAGAAGCAGTAATGATTGATAGATAGGCAGTCCTTGGAGTTTTGCTCTGATACTCACAAATATGAAAGTTTATTGGCTAAGACGTCAGTAAACCTATGAGTCCTGGACGTTAGCTCACAGTGTCATGCTCCAAAATGAAGTTTGTGATCCTGATTTTACTTATTTCTCCTTGGGGATAGATTGTTTTAAATCTTTATTATTTTTGCCACAGTTCCTGCTGGAGATCAAGTTAACCCCAATCCCAACACAGATGAAGGACAGACTCCCTCTTGTTGAGGAGCTGTTGGTGATTGGTGGCTCCTGGGGGAGGCAGAGTCAGTGTTCTTTAGAGAGTCAGTGTTACCTGTGAGGCGGCCCATGCTCTAGTAGATGCACATTTGGCAGCAGCAAGTGGATTGGGTGGCATTAAAGAAAAAGAACACATGACCCTGTGAAAGATGGGGGAGATAGGGGAGGAATTTGGAAAGCCGGGAATGGGGGAGGACTTCATCAAAACATGTCAATAACATTCTTCAACAAAAGTTGGTATCAGTGGGCAACTTGTGAGAGTCAGCTCTTTGTTTCAGCAGGGCATGTGGCTTTTAGGGATCTAGTTTGAGTCTTAAGCCTTCACAGCATCAGGCATCTTGATGGCCTGACCTTTTAAAAAATCCTGAAATGCTGGGATACTTTGCTTAGCCCCAGGAAGGCCTTACCTGCTCTGAGGAGTGGATGGGGGTAGGAAGGGGAGGAGGCTAGGGGGGATTGGAGAAGGGGAGGGGGAACTGGGGTTGGTATGTAAAATGAAAAATAAATTTAAAAAAAACAAAAAAAAATCAAGAATCTACTAAAAAAAAAATTCTGACATAAAGACTACAGATCTGGTAAGTCTCAAGCATGCCCAGACTGGTCTCAAACTTATGATTCTCTGTCGCAGCCTCCTATGTGTTAGAACCACAAGAGTGTCCAAATATGTCTGTCCTGGATACATTTAGTCTTTGGTCTAAATTTAACCTTATAAATATTTTCTATTTAATGTTCAATTTAATAATTTGAAATCAATTGTGATCACTGTCACAAGTTCCTCATAAGACTGGGTCTGTCAACACACTGTCACAGGCAGGGAAGGGCTCATGAGCAGACACACCCCACTGCCAGGATCCATAGGCAAATAATGATAGATCATGGAGTCCTGCCTTTCCCTAAGTGTCTGCAGGCAATTAATGGTTGCTGGGGAAGGAGAAACTTTTTTTTTTTTTTTCAGTGCGTAGCCAATGATAAGGAGACCGTACTTCCAGGTCTCTGCATCCCTGGATCCTATCAGCAACCTGAATGAATGAATGAATAGAAGTAAAAGAGAAACTAGGTAGGAAGAGGAGGGGGATCAGCGAAAGTAAAAGAGAAACAGTAGTATGTAATAGGGTGAACATGCTAAAAATACATTATATATGTGTAAAATAAATTTAAAATTCGACTTTTCAAAAAACCACAAAACAAATCAAAAATAAAAAGAAATTCAACATTTTTCTTTGTTTTTTTTTTTTTTTTTATTGCACTTGTCTTAGTTTCTTTTCTGTTGCTGTGAAGACACATTATGACCAAGGCAACTTATAAAGGAAACATTTAATTGGGGGTTTGCTTACAGTTTCAGAGGTTAGTCCATGACCGTCACGGTGGACAGACAGGCATGGCACTGGATCAGTGGTAGACCTTATCAGCAAGTTGGAGGCTGATATGGAGCAACTGGGATTCGCATGGGTTTTTTAAAACTTTGAAGCATGCCCTCAGGGACACACCTCCTCTAGCAAGGCCACACCTCCGGTTTTCCACCAACTAAGGACTAAACATTCAAATATATGTGTCTTCAAGGGCCATTCTCATTCAAAGCATCGCAGGCATTTATTTCTATTTATTTGTGTAGTGTATGTTTTGGGTAGCAGACACGCAGAGAGAGGGGGAAGGAGGGAGAGAGGGAGAAATCGAGGGAGGAGAGAGAGTGAGAAAGAGAGAGAGAGAGAGAGAGAGAGAGAGAGAGAGAGAGAGAGAGAGAGAGAGAACATCTTGAAGGAGTCAGTTCTCTACTTCAACTATATGGGTTCCAGGGCTCAAACCCCAGCTCAGTCTTGGTGGCAGGAACATTTACCTGCTGAGTCACCTTGCCAACCCTGACATTTTTTTTCTTTCTGAAAATTTCTAGACTTGTAAACTCTTTTTTTGTGGTACTTACCTTGTGTGGACTGGTGATTATCGTCGTTTTAAAGAGCATCTGCAGAGATATTGCCAAATATAATCGTGTAAAACTTTCTGTAAGTAAAACTGGATATTTTGATTCAAATTGATATGTATTCTGCTTAGTTGTCAGTTATTGAATTTGTACTTAAAGTATAGTACCTTGACTATAACACATTACTGCTGTCTAGCAATTTTGTATATTTTACCAGTGGTTCTCAATCTTTCCAATACTGTTACCCTTTAATACAGTTCCTTCTGTTGTGGTGACTCCCAACTATAAAAATTTTTTCATTGCTACTTCATAACTGTAATTTTGCTACTGTTATAAATCATAATGTAAATATCTGTGTTTTCCAATGGTCGCTGTAAAAGGGCCCTTTGATTCTGAAGGGGTTGCACCCCATAGGTTGAGAACCATTGAATTATTATATAGTCAGAAATTATAGAGTTGTATAGGTTTGCTTAACAGTGTAACTTTATTTAGAGACTTGTTTGCCATCAACTTTGATTATATTTTGTATGTATTTCTGATGCCTAAAATATTATTTTAAGAAAGTCTTAATTGCCTTTAAACATGAGATAGGAATACCAAATGTTGCAAAGCGGTATAATTTATGTTATGCTATACTTACTATCTTGTTTCATGCATATGTTCACATATTGATGAATTTTAAATTTCTATAAATCTGTTGAGTTTGTTAGGTTAAATAATTTTGCTTTCTTTGTGAAAATATAGAAAACTGTGTGCTTTATATAATTAACACATCCCTCTAATGCAAAACAGAATTTAAGAGAGAGATTTATTCATATAGCAGGCTCATATGGCATCCAGAAACATGCTGAATCCACAGCCATTGCTTTCCAGTTAGTTTGTCTTGAGTGGAAAATTTCATTTCATGTAATTTGTCATATTTACTTACATGCTTATTGAAGAATTTCTCACATGCAGGTCTATGACCGGAGCCAGTTTGGGTGGAGGATGATTTTTGGGAATGTATTCAGGCTCCCGCAATATGGAATGTTGCTGTCAGTTTTTCTTGGTCAAGGAACACAAGTTTTCATAATGGCATTTTTTTCTTTATGTGAGTATGTTCAAATATAGCTTAAACATTTATAATGAACTGCTGACATGTATTAGGTTTTGTTTCATAAGTACAAAATGATTTTGAAAAATGTAAATTCAATTTTAAGAAAATTTATGTTTTTTAGTACTTATATTTCTGTCTTTTCAAATTCTGGATATGAATTTGAGAATGTTCCTATGTTGATTCTAAATAATTTGTTTAAAAGCTTCAGCACAGCCAGGCGTAGTGGCACATGTCTTTAATCCCAGCACCCAGGAGGCAGAGACAGACAGATTTCTGTGAATTTCAGGCTAGCCTGGTCTATAGAGTGAGTTCTAGGACTGACGGAATTCCATATTGAGTCCCTATCTTAAAACAAACAAACAAAAACCAAACACACATTAAAAAAAAAACTCAGCACATATTTCTTACTTTATAAGATAGATGCATTACTGAAAATTGGTACAAGGTGAATATTTTCAATGGTCTGAGGCAACACCTGGAGCAAAGGTTATCATTTTGAAGTACCATGGCAAGCTTAAGTGCAAGGTTTTGATTTTTCTCAGTTTCTTTTTTTTTTTTTCTTTTCTTCCTTCCTGTCTTCTTTTCTTTTCTTTTCTTTTTTTTTTTTGAGACAAGGTTTCTTATTGGCCCAGAACTTTCCAACTAAGTAGGCTGGCCAGCCAATAAACCCCAGAGAGCTATCTGTCTACCTCTCTAGAGCTGTGATTAGAAATGCACTACAATACAATGTCCAATATTTTTTTCCAGACAAGGTGTCTCTCTGTAGCCTTAGCTGTCCTGGACTTGCTGTGTAGACTAGACTGGCCTTGAACTCATAGAGATCTACCCACCTCTGCCTCCCAAGTGCTGGGATTAAAGGCATGCACCATCACTGCCTGTTTTTTTTAAAATATAATTTATTTTATTTTATGTTCATTGGTGTTCTGCCTGCATGTATGTCCATGTGAGGGTGTCAGAAGCCCTAGAATTGCAGTTACAGATATGTGCAAGCTGCCATGTGTGTGCTGGGAATTGAACCTGGGTCCTTTAGAAGATTAGCCTCTGCTCTTAATCGCTGAGTCATCTCTCCAGCTCATGTCGAGATATTTTAGCACAGGTTCTTAGTATTGAACTTGGGTCTTTGTACTTGCAAGGTAAGCACTTTGCAGACTGAACTTTGCCCTCAGCCTACAAGTTCAGATCTTTAAGTGTATAAATGAAATGGTATTAGTATATAAATGAAATGGTATTCTGATTTTTTATCTTGCGTTTACTTATTTAGAGTTTCATGTAGATGAGGATGAAATTGAACTTCTTTCCATGCGATGATATTAGAAATAGACATATGGAGACATGTGTCACCACAACAATTTTATGAAGGTCTGGGAATCAAGCCCAGGGCTTAGTGCCTTCTAGGCGAGTACACTACTGAACTATAGTCCCCAGACTTTTTTTTTTTTTTTTAGACAGAATCTTATATAGCACTGAGTGGTCTAGATCTCTCTAGGTGCCCAAGGCCCTGATCTGTTTTCCTTGCCTTCACTTCCCTAATTCTGGGATTCAGATGAGTGCTACCATGCCCAGCTCTGGAACTGCATTTTTAGTAGTCAGCCTAACAATGACCTATGAACATGTGTTGTCATAATTTATGAGCTCAAAGTGGAGCTTGTTACTGTTTGATAGCCAGAGAAATGGCTTATTAGATGTTTCAGAGGTCAATGATTGTTTCAAAAGTTCAATTTGAAGGTACTTTTTCCCTCTAAAACTTTTTCACTTTGAATTTTTTATTTCTTACTTTGACAAATTACAGAGAAAAGAAAATATTTTTTGTTTGTTTTTCAAGATAGGGTTTTTCTGGGTATCAGTTCTGACAGTTCTTGGTGTTCTAGAACTTGTTCTGTAAACCAGAATGGCCTCAAAGTCACAGAGATCTGCCTGCCTCTGCCTCCTGAGTGCAGGGACTAAAGGCATGCACCACCACCTGGCTGAGCAAAGAAATTTCTGAGGGAAAAATAATTTGCTGTTCTTGGGATGACTGTTGGAATATGGGAAGGGGAAACAGTGCATGATTTTGATGTAATGAAATTAAAGACTAATTCAAATATTAAACTTCCATGTAACTTTAACTGAACATCAAATATTTATACTTAAGAAATTGTCATAGAAGTAGATAAGTGAATATTAGTTGTTTGCGATATGATTTAATATTTCCCTTGAGGTTTTTTTTTTTAAAATAATGTGTTAGTGGGGCAATGTATAGACTCCTAGAAAATCTAGAGGATATTCTTATGCTGTTCTGACTTGTTTTTTCTGCCTATAGTTCTGGCTGGTATTGCGTTTTTCACCCCTGCTGTTCAAAGTGACTTAGTAAACTATGCTGTTGTGCTGTGGTTCTTACTGGAAATCCCTGCTGGATATGTGTCTGCCAAAATGTACAAGAGTAAGCATTTCTACTGTTATTAGTCTCGAAAGCTGGTGTATTAAATGTAGAAATTAAAAGACCTTAAAATGGTTAGGCAAAATTACAAGAAATGTTAGCCAACATATTCAATTGTAATTTTGTCCTGATTATACTACAGTATTTTTTTTTAATTTGATTTAAAATTTTTGAGACAGGGTTTCTTTGAGTAGCCCTGGCCATCCTGGAATTCACTATGTAGACAAACAAGGCTGGCCTCTACCTCACAGAGATCCACCTGCCTCTGCCTCTTGAGTACTGGTATTAAAGGCCTGTGCCACCATCACCAGGCTACACTACAATATTTGTAAAATGGTCTAAGTCAAGGCATTTCAATAACTATTCTGTTTTTTACTTCCTCAGCATTTAAGGGTGCAAACTGGAAGATACATTTTTTGATGACAACATTGTTATTTCCGGGGTTAGTATCTCATATTCTCTTCTCTATATACAATTAGATTTTTTTCTTAGGTTTCATCTTAGGAAAAAAATGTATGCTATAATGAAGAGTAGGAAGGAGTTGAATGACCACTATGTTTTTCTGTAGCTACAGTATTCTTTTACTTTTGTGTTTGCATTCTTTCTACCTTCTACTTTTTAACTCTAGTACAAAGATATGACAGTTGTACTACTACATGCCCCATTTTGATCTTGTTGTTTGAAGCAGAGTCTGTCAGTGCTTATCATAGTTCAGCATCTTGCATGCCACATCACACTGTAGTAACAATTTATACACGCAATTTGGTTATTCTCCTTGTTGTTGCCATGAGTGATTATTTTTCCTGTCTTTACTTGTCCCTGCAGCATCATTAGTGACAGTTGTAGGTACATTCATAGCCAGCATGGAGGTGGGGCTTTTGCTATGTCGTGGCTGTGAGAATAGTTCAGTCAGTGTCTTAATGACTGTGTGTGCATGCATGCGTGCATGCGTGTGTGTGTTTGTATGTGTGTAGTTGAGTATTCCTTTAAGTCTTAGCCAGTTCTCTTCACAGTACTTCACTGATAAATTTGGAGATTGCTGAGGATTTTATCTACATATTTCTTGAAGTTTTGGTCTTAGTTTGGGCTGCCACAAAAAAAAAAAATACCATAAACAGGATAACTTGAGAAACAGAGATGTACTTTTACACAGTTTTGCAGGCAAATGAGTCTGAGAGTTCTAGCGTAGTTGTGTTCTACTGTGTGCTGTCTTTCTGGCTTTAAAGTAACCAGTTTCTCCCAAGTCAGAGAGATTAGGAAGGAAGATTAGGGGAGGGAAGGGAAGCAGGGCTCTTCTCGGAGGTCTCTTCTTTTAAGCTCATGGTGCTAATCTCCTGGATCCCACAGTCACAACCACATATAAAGCCAATAGTGTCTCAAAGGACCTGTCTACAAATAGGAGGTTGGTGATTAGGACTTACTTTAATATATGAATTTTAGAGAACACAATTCAGTGCATGTCATGCTTTTTAGTGCCAAGGGGGGAAAAATCCTCAATGTGTTTTTCAAAGGCGATCTTTTATTTGTAAGAAAAATAGTATTGGATTATGTCTCAATTGTATTATAGTACTGTAGTTCCTATTTACTTAAAAAAAAACATGTCTTTAAAGCTACAGGTATGCAACAGAAGAACAGCTCCTATACTGAAATTAGTATAGAGCAGAAAGGAGTCAAATGTGTTCTGACTGGTGGTAGAATGACAGCAAACACTGTAATAATGCTGTCACTTAGTATAGTACCATAAAGGATGCACTTCAGTGATGCCATTAGTAGATGGATAATCATTTCCATCTATATGGATCTTGTTTACTCTAAACTCAAGAGAAAATGTTAAGATCGTTGCAACTTTAAATGTTATTAAAATTGCACATCAGATCTATATTCCTCAGAATGTTTGACTGACTTACATTAGCATAATGAATTGCTTGCCCACTTCGCCTTGAATAGAGCCATCTGGTTCTCTGTAACATAGACTCAAATAAGCATAGGTGAATTTTTCTGAGGAAAAGGGTTGCATGCATTTATGTAGGAAAGACAAGTCCTTGACAGTTTTTCAGATATATTTTGCTTTAGGTTCAAGACTCAGATGAATCTGAAACTGAATAGTTTTGTCAACAAAGTGCCAATGCAAATGCCATTATATGTAACTGTAATCCTAGGGATAACACATGCACACACCAGTTTCTGGGGGTCTAGTGAAATGGCTCAGTAGGTAGGGATGCTTGCTGCCAACCAAGCGCGACAACTTAAGTTCGAGCCCAGTAACCCACACGAGAGAGAAGCCTTACATGTTGTTGTCGTCTGTGTGTTATGTGCTGTCTCCTACACATGTGTGCTGTGGCATGTACATACAGGTCATGTATTTAACAATGCATGCTTTAGGAAAAGAATCAATCATTGTACCAGATTGTTATTCACTGATCTTTCCTCCTGCGGGATTTTTGGTGGTGTTACTGTTTTAGTGCATAAAATAAATAGAAAATGATCTTGAAATTCTGCTTTTGGATAACTTAGAAACTAATGAGATAGGAGGAGGGAATGAACAGGTCTGTAAAATAGTGACTAGTAACAATTCTACTCAGCAGAGAGACTGGGGTTACAAGGGTGTGTATAAACGTAGTGGAGGTACAGGGGAGGAAAAGGCTGCTTCAGCGTGGCACAGCTGGGAAGGCTCTACAAAGGCTATACCACTTCAACTATGACTTGAAGGGTTCTTTAGCTCTATTGGGATCCTTTCTGTTCCTTCTCATTTCTATTACGGCCCGGCTCAATCTCTTGTTGTTCTTCTATTGGATATCTTACTTCTTCCTGAAGTCATTCATTTTCTTGCTTATACATGACTCAGATCTTTCTATTCCTAAGAAAAACTACTTCTCCTCCCTCCCTCCTTCCTTTCTTCCCTCTCTTCCTCTTCTTCCCATTTCCCCCTCTCACTCCTAGTGCTACCCAGAACACTGCACATGCTAGGTATGTGAAGTGTCTATTCAAATCTTTACTTATTTTTTAAACTTCATTTTATATATATATATATATATATATATATATATATATATATATTTACTTATTGAGTGTGTTCAAGGTTAAGAATATGGAGGTCAGAAGACAATAGCCAGGGACTACTTCTGTCCTTCCATCATGTGCATTCTGGAGATCAAACTCAGGCTACCAGACTTCAAAGCAAGTGCCTTTATCCACTGAGCCATCTCCCAGGCCCAACTCTTCACTCATTTTTAATTGATCCTTTTCTCCACTCTTTGTCAAAAAATATCTTCCAATCTTAGTCCCTGTGGTGGTTACAGTGTTTATGGCTCTCATAGACTTATGTGTTTGAATGCTTGGACCATAAGGAGTGGCACTATTAGATAATGTGGCCTTGCTGGAGTAGGTCTGACCTTGTTGGAGGAAGTGTGTCACTGTGGAGGTGGGCTTTGAAGTTTTATACATGCTCAAGCCATCCATGCCCAGTGAGGCAAGCCACTTCCTGTTACCTGGGGATCAAGATGTAGGACTCGCAGTTTCTTCTCCAGCACCATGTCTTCCTGCACACTGCCATGTTTCCCTGCCGTGATGGCAATGGATTGAATCTGAACTGTAAGCTACAACTAAATATTTTCCTTTACAAGAGTTGCCTTGTCATGCTGTCTCTTCACAGCAACAGAAACCCCTAACTAAGACAGTCTCGTAATGCACGTACCACCGTGCCTGTTTACTAGTTTCTTTTGCTTTGTTTTTCTCTTATTTCCCTTTTTTCCTGAGGTAGGGTCTCTTGTCACCAAGGCTAGCCTTGAACTTGCCATGTATCCAAGGATGACCTTGAATTTCTTACCCTTCTGCCTCCACTTCCCAAGTGCTAGGGTTACAGGGATTCACTACTTCTTTTATGCAGTGCTGGAAATCAAAAGGGATTTTTTGTTCTTGCTAGGCAAGTACTCTAGTAATTGAGATCCACACCCAGTCCAACTTTGTTTCCTTCTTGTCAAAATTTGAGAGGCTTTATGTATGGAAGTATTTTCTATCACATAGAATTTATGACTGTTTCTTGTGTTGCTTGTCTTTTGCATAGCAACAGATGTGAAAAAGGGTGTGTCCTGTTTTGTTTTGTACGAATTACGTTACTTTTATTTTGTTGCATGTGTAGAGATCAAAGGTCATTGAGGATCTTGCTTCTATCACTCTCCACTTTATTCTTCTCTCTCTCTCTTTCTGAAATCTCTTAGGATATTATCTTTATGGTTTAAATGTTTGTCTGGTCACTTTTCCAAGAGGCGTATTTTCCAGTCTTCTGTTTGGGGAGATCATTAGCCTTTTAAGAGGTGTGTGGGAGAGAAAAAAAAAAGGTGTTTAAACCTGAAAAATTTAGTGGGTTTTTGGCTACTTAAATATGTCTGAGTATAGTAGCCAATTCCTTTGCCACATCTTGTGTTCTCTAGCCCAGGGAAGAAACCTCCACACATCTGTGAGGGAGGGTGGTGATAGAAGTATCTACTTCTCAAAAACTTTACAAGATTCTCTTCCTTCAGTCATTTCCCACCTCTTCCCATAACTCATAGAAAACCTGCTGTTATCAGTTTCGAAACCTTTTATGGGCTCCACAGTGTGAATTGTTTTTTTCACACATTTCCTACTGCCTGCGTGGCTTCTCACATATCTTTTTATTTTCCATTACCTGCTTTCCTGTTCTTTTTACTTGTGTAGATTTTGAAAACAAAGGCTTTTTTTTTTAAAAAAAATTTTATTGGACTCCAGAATCCACACTGGTAAATTATTTTGTTATTGATGGTTTGTGTCATCTGGACTTCTATGATGGCTTTCAAGCTACTCTTCAAGTTAAAAAATAAAAAATAAAGTATGGACAAAAAAATTATTGGACATGTATGTCTGCGTGCCTGTATGTTAGTGTGCCCATGTGAATGCTGGTGTCTGCAATAGCCAGAAGAGAGCATCAGATTTATAGTATCTGAGATTCTAGGTAGTTGTGAGCTGCCAGATGGATTTGGAAGATGGTAACCAAACTTGGGTCCTCTTGAAGAACAGGAATCACTCCTTTTTTTCTGTTCCATTTTTACATTTGTTATTTCTTTAATTTTTAAATTGTTTGTGTGTGTATGCACACACATATGAGTACATGAACACACCACACACCTGTGTAAATGATGTGTGTATGTCTGCGTGTGTGAAAGTGTGGGTATGCTTGTGCCAAAGCATGAGTGTGGTCAGAGGAAAACTTCTGGGAGTCAGTTCTGTCTTTCCAGTGTGGGATCCAGGGAATGAACTTGGGTCATCAGGTTTGGGCAGCAGCCACTTTTACTGGAGGAGTCATGCCATTGGTCCTTTAGGGTTTCTTTCTTTCTTTCTTTCTTTCTTTCTTTCTTTCTTTCTTTCTTTCTTTCTTTCTTTTTTTGTTTTTTCTTTTTTGAGACAAAGTCTTACTATGGGTAGCCT